ACCTCTTGACTGCTCTCACTGACTGAATTCAACACAAACTCAATTCAAGTCTTCAGCCAAAAATGGATTATCTGGGTCCAAGTGATTAACTTTTTTATGAGTGTATCTGAGTTAAAAAAACAAATTGACTTATTTGCATTTCGTTAAATGCAATTTTTAATGAATTTTTTTCTATCGTAATTGATTCAAAAGGCCGATTCCGAAATCCAAATTCAGTGTATATTTTTTTTGCAAGCAACTAGGCAGAAAGGAGACCAGTATCACTACGACCTAAAAGATCTAATGTGATCAAAAAAAAAAAACAGTGTAAAGGGTTCGAGCTTAAACCTGACAAATGTCCCAAATTGAAAACAACATTAAAAAAAATTAAGGACTGGATGCCTACTTCATAATATGAAAACAATCGACGCTCCAGGAAGTCTGCAGTCTGTGAACACGTACAGGATCCAGGATCGCCCCGTCACTACATCAGATTTGATAGACCACAAATCCTCGCTAAGGAACACCGATTCCTTCCAAGGATGATTCGCGAGGCTATTGAAATCAAAAAACATCCTAATTTCAATAGAGAAGATGGCTGGGTGCTATCATCTGCTTGGGATCCTATAATAAATAAAATTAAATCCCAACCCAAGCATACAACTGCAAGACTTCAAGATACCATAAGTTCATACTGTGTAAATCGGAACAAAAGTTAAAATTTTAATCTATGGTAACCGCAGTTAACTATGACATCTGGACGTTGAACATCTCAGTCCTGCCCGTGACCATGAGTGCTGTAAAGCGTTTGAAACGTCGGGTATTTAAAAAGTTAAATATACGCGATAAATTCCGTAAAAACTAGTATTATTTCAATGTGTAGTGTTCGCGTAAATATAAGAAATCATTATATGAAAACAAATTGACATATTTGCGTTTCGTTATAAGCAATTTTTAGTGAAATTTGTTTTTATCTTAATTATATTATCTGGATATTTATAGCCAACCCGAATTTTGAAACAGTGCCGAATTTTTTCATCTGCTCTAATAACAGTCAGATCCAATTTTTAAGCCAGCCCAATCCCGAAGAAAGAAAATATTATTTGTGTATGAAGCTGTAGGTGAGACACCAACTGATCCTAAATATTTTTTTTAATTGAATGTATTTATACAATTAAATGTGCATTGGTTACTTAGCTTACACTTTCAAAATTCTATGATACATGTTCTTTTTTATACAAAATTTAAATAATTCATGAAAAGTCAAAAAACCTGTGTTGATTTGCAAATCAGTTGAACAGATGAGCATAATGTGATTTGTCTAGTTGTTGATTGATTCAGGAACTTATAAGCTTGAACCCAATATTTAAAGATCTTCAATCAGCAGAGCCACATAAAGTTCTCAGACTTAATGACCTCGTATTGCCTTAACGATACTGCTGCTGTCATAAAAAATGAGTTCTAATAGAGCGATTAGTTGTCTCCCTCGCTCGCGTGGGCTTTTTACAGGGCTTTCGAGAAGATGATCACTCTCTTTCTAACCTATGGCAAAATATTCTATAATGAAATATAACTACAATTGTATATATAGCAATTAGTATAGAGATTTAAAGCCAGGCTTTAGGAACGAATTTGTCAAAAGCAGAGGCGCGCGGGCAATACGTTTGCAAGTTCATTTCACATTTAAATGTTTATTTACTCTGTGTGTTTAGCTTAAGCGATTTAATATTGCGAGTTCAAAATTTAAAGATTTTTAGTGAAAATGGAGGATAATAGTGTTCTTTGTGATGAATTGAAGTGTGTTAAAGTGCTAATCGGAGAGGAAGACATATAATCTTTAAAATTTGTTGAGATAATACACAAGGTCAAGAGTGTATTTCAGACTTATCAATTATCACAATTAAAAAACAGTTATTGGTACAGTTAGAACATTCACCAACATTTTACATGGACTTAATTAAATCTTTCCTTAAGAAAGCGAGACGATTCCACTTATCTTATCTTATCTCTTATCCATTAGAATGTAAATGTTTTTTTAATTTTGTAAATAGTTTGTTTGTACTTTGTTCATGTTTTACTTTTGTTTATGTATTGTATTGGATGTAAATATTTTTTTTTCGCTTAAACAATCTCAAACGGCTTTCTTCAAAGCCACCGAAGCTATGCAATTGCTGATATGTAATACAATCTATCTAGCAGTAGTATGCCTTCTGTGTGCTTTGTTAAACACGTCCTTGACAGCACTGAATATGAAACTGAAGCATGGAAACAGATCAAGATTGGTGTATTTTTATAAAACTGCTAAAAACAACAATCTATATTTTTATCAATTAATATCTTGGGCTTGCCCTAGTTTGGAGCTCTAGCTTCGCCACTGCTATAACTGCTGCTAAACGGAAATAAAGTTTTAGTACATTAAAACATTTAAAAATTTACCTACATTTCTACTGTGTCAGGAAAGAATATCATATCTTGAAATCTTTTACGTAGAAAATTCTATTGCCCAAAAGTTAAATTATTCTGAATTGATAAAAAAATTGCAAGCGCATAAGACAGAACACTGGCCATCTAGGCTTTTCATTAAGTTTGTTGTTGGTAGTACATTTAATTAAAAGTTGTTCAAACCAGATTATAACTCTTATTATGGGGAATAATCAATACAACTAGTCACCGTTGCAAGGAAAGCATAGTGCCGTCATCGAGTGCAACAGAGTAGTGTGAGTGGAATTGACAACATTTCTTTAACACAAATAAGCAGAACAACTGCCATGGCAAGAGCAACTGACACAACTGTGCTAGCTTCGTTTTGCTTCATCTAATACTATTTAACATGCTCAGCGCCAAGCTCAGACTCGATGTTCAGACGATTTGAGACAAAAATTTAAAAGTATTCTTTATGAGCTTTTTAGTGTCCTAGAGTTTATAATAATTTATTTTCTTCCCCTCCCCACCACTCCCCCCTTATTTTTCGCCGTGTATCGATAATGATACACGTGGCCTATGAAAAAGTTTTGACTCAAAACCATTTTCCCAGGCCACGTGTATTGTTATAGATACACACTAATTTAATTTTTCTTATATATATACTTGGATATACTTGGAATCTGGAAGTATACTGCGGCAAATCCAAGTCCAAAGTGTCTGATGTATCGGAGAAAACAGTCATGTCTCTCGCAGAAGGTCTGCTTGATGAAGGTAGGACAATATATACCGATAATTATTACACTAGTGTCCCTCTAGCATATCGATTGAGATGCAGAAAGACTCACCTAGTTGGAACCCTAATAGGTAACAGAAAGCACCTACCAAAAGACATTATGTCTATGAAACTGAAAAGAGGAGAGATGTGTGCCAAGCAAACTAACGATGGGATAGTAGCACTGAAATGGCGAGACAAGCGTGTATTGAGGATGCTGTCTACTAAAACATCTGCGCTCAAGGTAGTCACAGTTCAGAACAGGAATAAGCCAGCCATTCTAAAACTGGAGTGCATTGTGTACTACAAGAATGGAAAAATTTCAATTGATATAAGTGATTCGATAGCAACATATGGCTCAGCTCTTAGGCGATGTACGAAATGGTATCGTAAGCTGTTTATCGAAATTTTGTGGGGAACTTCTCTGGTGAATATTCATTTCCTCTATAATGTAAATATATCAGCAAAGAAAGTGACATTATTATTATTATGTATGGAAGGGAGGGAAAAATTATAAATGGCAAGTAAGCAGCACAAAAGTGATCTACCTGTTATATATTTCTATGCCGAAAATGCTTCAATAAAACTCACTAGAACAGAATACTCATAGAATTTATATTCCTAAGATTTTTTAGTTTTTTTTTTTCAAACATGGTTATAAGAGGATTACCGGAGGTTTTTCCTTTTTAAAGATGATCATTAGTTAAAATTAAAACGAAAATTTTTTTTTAAAAAAAAAAAAAAAATGTAAGAAATGTGTTTATAATTTTGATTTTTTTATAAATAATACTAGTGCAAAACAATTTTTTTTTCTTCCAAATTAAATCTTCAATATCTCAAGAACCATATGTCCTATTCCCAACCCAAACCAACTAAAAAACTCTCCTGGGCCAGAGGATTTTTTCAGCAGTAGAAAATGCATAGAAAGCGTGTGCATTAGGGATACACAAGGCAAAAACCAGAAGATAGGCTGTGTATCGTGAGCGATACACAATGTTTTGACAGTGTGTATCATTAACAATACACATGGCGCTGAGTGTGTTAAAATCACGAAAAAGCAACTCATAGTATAGGAAATTAGGGTTTGTACTTAGAGGGGCGCCACTATGAGATCTCGCACCACCCAAAAATTTTGCTAGGGCCGCCACTGACTACAAAATTGAGGCAGCACCATCTCTGCCCTACATGTATTATTATATTGAACATAGAGGATGCCGTAACTCTTCCTACTGTAATTAGCCCATAAGCTGCATGAGCAGAGAGATGTAAAGAACTCTCGAAAGACAACCTCCTTCGAACACTGCACAAACCTACGAGCAATTGTCAGCTGTGATTGACATCGCCCTCCACTCCCTATAAATATCATCCTATATCATTATTGGGAAGCTAAGAAGAAATTAACAATGTGATTGAAAATCAGCCAAAAACGTGAATTTTTAATACAAAGCGGCAATTCATCTCATAGGTGTCATATTATATCAGAATATAAATAATGGTTTCAAATATTCCGTTTGGAAACAATTATAGATTTGAATTGAATTGTTTCCATAAACATAATGTGCATAGAATAATTCAAAATATATATACAATGAATTTATAATGGTTATGATTCCAAATTAGACATTGATGACAAGTGAGTCTGACCAACCTGTACAATTGCCGTCAACCATTTCTTCAGTATTAGCAAGCTGTAAGTTCATGTAACCATCGGCAGATACAAGCAAACCTTTATATTCATGGCCCCACTTAAGTTTTACAAGAACTGCCTTTCCTGTGAGGCTGTTAAGGAATGGCTTGGGGTTAATTGGCATAGCCGCCGCCATTTTTACTGTTTGTTTTTCCTGCGAATATAGACAATGTTATCGTTACTAAAGTATTGTCAAGGTAATACGACTAAGTTGTTCACTGCTGTTTTTGCAAAATAACTTACCTTGAAAATTTAATATAACCTAAAACCGTCAACTGCCGCCGCTTTCGCAAGTATAGATAGATACAGACTACGTTAGTACTCTTATTAGTTTGTGATACAGACAGATACTCAAACAGATAACATTGTAGTCTTTGGTATACAGTATGTTTATACCCGTTTATACTCTGTGCACACTCTATATAAAAAAGAGGTTTTCCTCTTCCTTTCCTTCCTTTTTAAAAGCCTCTTCGAAGATACCTAATGGCCAATGGCAAGGCGGTGTATTCTTCTTGGTGAGTACAACCATAGTTCCGACCGTTAAGGTGGCCCTAGTCGATGACACGAACTAAGTGGTGGGCGGGGTTAAAATGCAAGCTATCTCAGCCGACCGATCACATGCGAAAGCGAAAGGCATGATGATTACAACGAAACGAGCGCGCGAAATTTTATAAAAAGACCTTTGGGAATCTGGATATCATGAAAAATCTATTGAATGTATCTGTTCAAAATAAAATTATTTGCACTTTTGAACACCTAATCTATCCCTGTATGGTAACTGTTTTGCAATTTTCGTTCTTCTTATGGTATTTTTATCCGCTAAAAGATGTGTTAAAATTAGTACTTTTAAATATATTATTTTTTTACTTTTTTGTTTCCGTACAGGGCTAGATGATTATGAGACAAATTGAAATCGTTTTTATTTTGAACGTACACCATCAAACAGTGGAGTAATCGCCAGACTACGTTTGTATGGAAGAATGAGCGACTAGTGTACCCTTAGAGGTTCAGTCGTTGTGTTCCATTTTCGCCGAGAGAGTAACGTATGCAAATATTCCGCCTTCCATCGTTTCCAAAATGTCTGCACCAGCCGGTCTAATAATTTATGGCGTGCAGAAATATTAAGTTTCTCCTCGTCTATGTCTATGACGGGCAGATGTTTCAAAGGCGTTAGATTCAAAAAATGCGCTGGGGTTAGAGCCAGCGGCTCCAAGGGGTCACTTAACAACGTACGACAAAGAGGGTGGCTATTCATGACGCACTCGATTTTAGCGAGCACAGTGCTTAATTCTGCGAAAGACAAAATTTGATCTCCAATTACTCGATATAAATGGCTCTTTAGACTCTTAATATTAGTCTCCCAATTTCTTCCAAAATGGCTCGCGGCGGGGACGTTCAGAGACTACTCGATGCAGTTCTCGGCTAAGATGTGAGCGAACTCCGAATTATAATATTTAGTGCTTAGAAATTCATGTAATTCCGATAAAATACGTTTCGCACCGACGTAGTTCGTACCGTTATCCGAGTACATTTTACTTACAGGGCCACGACGGGAAAGGAACCTTTTAAATGCACCCATGAAGCACGCTGTGCTCAGATTACCAACAAGTTCTATATGCACAGCGTGAATAGACAGACATATGAAAATACAGACATAAGCTTTCGTGGATCTTATACCACGCCCGCGAGTAAGCGTGACCTTAAACGGATCAGCAAAGTCTGGCCCGGTGTGCATAAAAGACTTGACACAAAAGATTGTGTCACACGACAAGACCTAAGGTCCGCCATTTCCGGAAATGACGGCTTAGGACGCACTCGAAAGCAAGCCATACATCTGTACAACCGATTGCGGATTAAATTACGTGCGTGCGGAAAGAATCCAGTAATTCTAGCGCAAAATGGACATCAACAATTCGGAGCCAGCATGACAATTCAATTTATGGTGGTAATCAATTAATAAGTTCGAAATATGGCCCTTACGCGGTAAAACTATAGGGTTCCGTTGATCGAAACTCAACTGTGAGTTAGATAAGAGCCCAGCTACTCTAACGATGCCATCTTGTAAAATAGCTTAAGGCGTTGAAAAGCACGACTACAAGTTCTATTCGATTTTAATCTTGTAATTTCATCAGAAAAATGTACACATTGAAGTTCACGCAATACTAGCAACTTGGTATAACTATAATCGGACGCAACGATATACGGACGTCGCGGTAGAAGCTTCGCGAATCGATACACGTAAATCACGCTACGCAATAATTTCTACATATAAACAATCGATACCAAAAATACGAACAAACACTACTTAATGAATTCTAAAACTACAAAGGCTATATTGTAACGACAAAAATTATTTTAATATAACACAGAGTCAGCGTACTGCTGTGGCGCAGATAAACTATATTTTTTTATATGGAACACTAACAAGCTAAACAAACATTAAGCAAAATACTAATATATAATTCTATGAAAGACAAACTGATATTTAAATCACACAAAACTCTCCAATCACAAGTATGAAATTTTTAACACGAATTGAAACTATAAGTATTAATAATTTTAAGCGGTGAAGCTATGCGACGAACGCTTCGGAACAACATTGCTTATGGCATGTTGCTCGCGAAGCCTCACTTCTTTCCGCCAAGCAAGATTGGCCTCAGCAGGTCTATTCCATAGCCTCCAATGAGGCACGCTTTCTGGCGCAGTGGCTCGGCGTCTCCATGCGCCACGACCCTGATTCACACCGCGCGCGCTTCCGCTAACGACATCGATTTGAGTCCCGGGTCGCGAAACACGTGCACCGTATATGTCACCTGATGGGTCGCGGGCCGATCTAACTTTGTTAATTTGGGCCTTCTTTGCGGTGTTTATAAACCTGGCTCCAGGGCTATCCCTATTTGGCGTTCCCTTCGGCTGCGATGATACTACAACAGGTTTACTACCTATTCCCGTCCTAATAGACTCTAACGTCTTGATTCTCGACCCCTCGCATAATCTATTATCCGAGATAAGTATAGGCGGAACGTTCCCCTTCTCTATTTCCCGAAAATTGCGAGTCAATAATTCGGGAGGTTCAACAGCGACGGTGCAACAATAGGATGTTGCCGAAACATTATGAGCGGTAGCGGTAGGAGAGGGATCAATAATGACGTAACCCTAAACGGTCTCCAATGCGTAAGGCTCGGTACACGAGAAGTTACCCCTGACCTTATTGTGTAACAAAAGGTGAGGGAAAACAGATGCCCCAATGAGCATGTCAACATCTCCAGGGACGGCGTAAGTGTCGTTCGCCAAAGTTAAATTATCAAAAATAATCATTGCTGAGGAGTCGACCGAAACTGTCGGCATACGCTCGGTGACCTTATCTACTACTAGTGCACTTATATTAAAATTAATACTACGATCCAGACGAGAATAAAATTTTAAATTTATAGAACCTTGTATAGTCTTATTGAAACCTCCAATTCCCTTTACTACGGGGCATGAAGTATATATCATATTCACTAACAATCCTAAACGTTGACAGCATTGCTGTGTCACGAAACTAATCTGTGATGCACGGTCCAGTAATGCACGAACACTCTGTTCGTTTCCATGCGAATCTCTAACTACGATACGGGCTCTACCCAGCAACACAGTGGAAGGAGACTGCGTTTCCACGTTCGACAGTGAACACAGGGCGACATCATCCGGTCGACCATTGGAAGCGTTGACCTTAGTGGGTGGAGTTTCACTGTCCGATTTGTTTAACGCGGATATGTTACCACTCTCAAAATGCATCAATCTATGGTGTCTGTTTTGGCATTTGTTACATACTGAACTGGAGTTACAATTAGCGACGCGATGCCTATTGCTTAAGCAGTTTAAACATAAGTTGTTCGTCATTGCTATTTTATAACGTTTGCTCGGTGAATGCTTACGGAAGGTCGCGCAGTTATACAAATTACCGTGTTGGTTATTTTTACATAAAACACAGGTGCTATGAGGCGATGGAGGCGTGGTGTATACATACGTCAGAGACTTAGCTGTTCTCGCTGACGAGACCGGTCGATGTTTGACCCACTTCTTCGCTTCGTGTTTGGCACTCGAGGAACGCTGTATTACTTTAATTTGATCTCGAACGAAAGATGCCAAAGATCCGAACGAAGGCAATTCAGAGCTAATATTCTCCATTTCAAACGCACGCACGGTGTTGCGGTCTAGCTTCTTTAATGCGATATGTAGAAACACAAAGTCCATGTTACGAATTTATCCAAAAACTGCTCTAAGCCAGTGATGTTCGCGGATGATATAATTTTAAGATCGGATATCTGGTCTAGATATGAAGAGGCTAACATTCGCTTATCTTCATATTTGTTTTTAAGCGTTTCGAAAATTAACGAATAATTGTTTGCTGTTGGTGTTTAACGCGAACAAATGGTCTGTGCCCTACTACTTAATTTACTAATTTAATAATACAATCTTTCAGCGTCCGATAACGATGGATTGTTATGTAAAAAAATAAAATATATTAAAAAAATCAAAAAAATTAAGGAAAAACTAAAATATTTTTCAATTTCGGTCCAGTTTTTTAGATACACTAACTGCATAAATAACTCTGTAATCCCATACAAATATATAAGATTACAAAGTTATATTTGCAGTGAATGAATAAGTGTACCTGTATATGTATAATGGGTGTAGATAAGTACGTTGTTGACATTCAAGAAGTAGAAGGTACCGGAAAGGAAAGAAAAGTAAGACTATCATAATGATTTCTTAAATTTACGCGAACACTACACATTGAATAAAACTATTATTTACGGATTTTATCGCGTTTAATTCCACTTTAATTTATTTTTACTCTTCCGACGTTTCGGGGTGCTTTACAGCACCCGTGGTCACGGGGGGACTGAGATGTTTGACGTCCCAATGTCATAGTTAGTCCGGCTACCTTCAGTTTTTGAATATTAATTTTTGGTCCGATTTACGCAAAATGAGCTTATAGTATCATGAAGTCTTGCAGTGGTATGCTTGGGTTTGGGTTTAATTTTGTAAATTATAGGATCCCAAACAGCTGGCAGCACCATAAAAAAACAAACAAAATAAACAAATAAAGAAATACCAAAAATTAACGATCAAATCAAATGCTAAACATCCAAGTCAACGCCAGAACAATACACAACCGTTGACCATAGACATAAACGTTAATAAATTCATTTATTTCAGACAACAAAGGTCCATGGGTTAGTATTACAAGTAATGCTTATAAACTAAGTGTTAGTATTTTGAAAACATTTAAGTGAAATTATAAATAAATAAAATAAAATAAAATCTCTTTTTTTCGGACAAACATCCATAATTGTTAGCTACGTTAGTAACAATTAAGTGCAGACATAAATAATTAGTTTAAGTACAAACCAGGCCTACCCGAGGCACTAGGTTTATGCACATGCATATTCACCCAGTGTCCCATAATAGGACAATCTGTTTTGCCACTAAAAGCCCTCAGTATGGTGTTGGAGCTACCACGTATTCTGCGCATGAGCGAGGCTACACGTTTGCGCAACACCGTTTCGAAGCTATCAGTGCGCGCTTGCGCATACATGCCCGATGCGCTACAAAATCGCGGCAGACCCAACATAACCCTGAAGGCATTATTATACTGTACTCGGAGTGCACTGAAAGCCCCCCGCGTATAATCAACCCACAGATTACACGTATACATTGTTTGGCAGAAGGCTTTAAACAATGTTATTTTAACTTCTGTGGTACATCGTGAAAATCTGCGGGCTAAGATATTGCAGCGGACTGCCAACGATCTCCTTTCCCTCTCCATATCACAGCCATCCCTCAGCCTCTCGTTCACAATGTGACCAAGATACTTGAAGGACGATACGCGATGTAGAGCTACTCCGTTTAGGTACACTGGCGGAACATTAAGAGCTCTGCTACTGTCTGCCTTAAATACCATAAACTCGCTCTTCTTTACATTGTAAAGAAGACCGTGAGACTTAGCAAAACGCTCACAAACGCTCATCAGTCTTCTGAGAGCAGCGGCATAACTTATACTATTGACACAAAGACCGTCTATAGAGCATCCGACACGCATGCTGCTGAGCCCACGAATCAGCTGATCAATATAGCAATTAAATAGTGTGGGAGAGGTCAAACCACCTTGTCTCACCCCACATTTAAGCTTAAACTCATCAGAAAACTGTCCAAGCCATCTGACTTGGTTAGTCTGATGTCCATACCAGTGTTTCGGGACACCACTCGCCAACAGCTTCGCCCAAAGAACATCATACTGAACCAAGTCAAATGCCTTCGACAGATCTAGAAAAGCAGCATATACACATAAGAAATCATTAAGCATATACACATGTTTTTCTGCAAGTGTAGTACTTGATTATATGCTTGAGGGACATAATAGCACACTCAGTGGATAACCCTGGCCGAAAACCGAACTGGGCGTCGTGATACCTAAGATGTTGTTTAAGTTGTCTCTCAAGCAAACAATCAAGCACTTTAGCCGTCACAGTTGCTAATGAGATCGGTCGGTAGTTGGTCTTATCCGAAATATCCCCAGTTTTATTTTTAACAATTGGAACTACGACCGTTCTCATTAGATCCGCAGGTAAGTAGGCATGCCTACTACAGATTGTGAACAGCATTCCCAGCAACCTTGGCAGGTGAGGCTCCGCGTAAAGGAAACGCTCAATGCTGAGGCCGTCGTGCCCTGGCGACTTGCCACGCTTCATTCCTTTTTTCGCCTCTAAAACCTCCTTGGCAGTGAAACGTTCTGGCACGCCGGTCACGATCGGCTCAGCAACCACCCTATCACATTTACCAGCATTGCCCGTGGTGGTGACAGACTGAACTTGGAAATGCGCTCGAAACAAGTTCGCAACATCCTTCGGGTCACTAGCGCCGTCGACACTCACCGGGACTTTGGACTTTGGACCCATTTTGGATGATTTCTTTTCATGCTTACAAGCTAGTATATTCATTTTAATTTGCTCTTTGTGATTTTGGCAGTATTTCAATTTATTTTTAAAAACTTTTCTTGACTCGCACATATCTATGTATAAGGAGCCCTCTCGTGGCCTTCCATACCACACCCAGTTTAGGAATTTCTGGCGGGCATCTTGGCGCGCAGCCCGCACGTGTTTGTTCCAGCCCGCAAGAGGGCGGGCGTTTTTCCTGTCACCATTACCACCCGCATGGCTAAGCCTAGCTGCCTCTTGCATAACCTTTACAATGCTCAAATATAGGTTATCTACTATAACTAAGTGATCCAAACTATGATTATTACAAAGAGTATCACAACAACTACTTAATTTATCACGAAATTCAATTTCTTTTCATTTTTCATTATAGAGTTTTGCGTACAATTCTAACTCACTCTTATTTCTATTACCCCATATAGCTTTGTCAGTTGAGGCACACATCAAAGTTTGCTAGGCATCAGATTAGCAATCTCGCACTCAATTTCTAAAGGGAAATGATCGGACCAGTAAACATCGTAGTGTACCTTCACAGAGACCACAGACCTCCGCGCCGCCTCAGTGATTATGCAATGATCCAACCACCTCCTACTACCATGCGCTTCACTGACAAATGTATATGTGTCTGAATCTAAACCCAAAATGTTAAGATCAATACAATTCCAATTTAACTCATTACAAAAATTTTACATTTCAGTACCAAACAAATGCCCTGGGTGGGCATTAAAATCCCCTAGAATATAAACTGATTCAATATCACAATTTTCAACAACTGCCGCAATCTCACTCAGACACTGAACGTATTCTACTAAGTTTTCCGCACAATCTGTAGGCATATACACACTAAAAACTAACATCTCTCGGTCCGTAGTACTAATTTTTATTGCCGCAATACGATCACTATCACATTCAATAACCGAAACACAGTGAAACTTCAACTTATTCCATAACAGCGCCACTCCGCCATACTGACGCCCACGTAAAATACCTTGAGCTTGAGAAGTATCTACCGCTGACTTACCATAGTAGCCAAATTCCTTGCTAACATAACTGAGTTCTGTTATTTCATGCGGTAACAGCCAGGTTTCTTGCAGTGCAATAATATCTGCCTTACGACTCAGATAAGTTACGCACTCTCGGGATCTCTTAAAGTTTTTACAGTTAAACGAAATAACTGATGTTTCATCCATAATGATTAAAATTACGTCTCATTTTTACTTGAATCACTTTCTTTGTTATTTTCACGTCGGCGGAAATTAACAAAGCGACGAAATATTATTCCATCAGGCCACAGATTACAATCCATAAATATAGTTAGTTTATGTTTAGGAACAAGTACCTTGTAAGAACTATAATCCTTTATCTGCTTAGACTTCATTTTTTATAACTTCACTGTTATATTAGTTTTACTTTTTATGTACGATATAATGTCACTCTCACATGTATCGACATGTACATTATTTATAAACAGTGGTATTAGAATATCCGCTGCGCGGAACTTTTGCTCTAAATCAATGCAGGTGCCCTTTTGGCTGTTAAAATGGTTCCTATATTTTTTCCTCTGCACTAATTTCCACTCTTCACTTTTTTCCTGTTCCTTCCAAGTAATACCATTATTATTACTACGCACAAGGTCCGACATACTCATTTGTGTATTAGTTTGTGTGGTTGCGCGTTCGGGATCTATGCGATGCTCGTTTAATGAGACCAGTAACGCAGTTTCAGACACGTTCGAAACCTCTGCATGGGCCTCCACGGGTATCTCGATGCGCTGTGTAACAGAGACAGATGATTCGCCATCCGGTGCACGCGATGGAGACGGGAAGCGCTGCGCAGGGGCAGACCGTGTGCCACTAGTATTGCACTGACTCATTGCCACGGTCGTCTTTGTGTGAATATTAGATGTCGTTGTCTCGGGCGGTATATTTATTATATCAATTGGACCACTTTTACAATTAAAACTATTTTGTAAATTAGCAGATCCCCGTATTCTATTCACATAATTGTTGCACTCAAAATTTTTAACTAAGGACGCTTGCTTAAGATTCGTCACTTCATTTTTTAACGGTGTAAAATTCTCGCTATTTACATAATCCTCCTTAACATACTCGAGTTCATTTCGCAGCGTAATAAAATCTTTAAGTAACCTAGTGACATCGATATGATCAAATGTGACTGGAGGCAGCTTATGCAAGTCACGGGCCACAAATATCGGCAATTCTTCAGGGTCCACCTCTTTAATTGTACTGGTGATGTCCTCCAGTTCTCGCTGACTTTTTCCTTCTCTCTTACGAAGAACTTTTCTTGTTGATTTTCTGAGCGACTCGAACAGAAGATTCTTCGCTGCCAAAATTTCCTCAGGCTTGAAAGCTGTTATACACAAACTGATAATTCCATCCTCGTCCATAATATCACATTTATTCTGAATAAACGCTAATAGCTCATTTAGTGCAATATTGCACGTAGCACACTTCACGGTGGAGGTCGTTGACCCCGCCGGACCGGTCATCGTTAACGTGGACACTCACAGCTAAGCGCAAGCGACAATCGAACAAAATATAAGAGAGTACCCGATTATTTTTCCGCGCAACCAAGTGGAATTGAGTACCTCCTCCTTTTTGAACTCTGTAGAAAAAGAACACAGGCGTTACTAGATATGTTCCCCATACTGGGAGAAGCTGCAACTATAGATAAAACAACGCACTGTCTATAATTTGTCAAAACATACACCGGACGAACCGACAATGAAAGTATTAGCGAAAGGAATGAACTTCGCATTAACACCGCGAAAAATCCCGTACGAAGAAATTATCTGCAGTGTCGAGGACTGTCTGTTTAAGAATAATACCGGTAAGGAAGATTTGGAGGCTATACGTCAAGATGTTTCGTCCTTGTTACGTCGTAGTTCAGTGTCGAAACAAACCTTCCTAAAGACGTATTACAGCGCTGAATAACTTACGGAACAGACCAGAGCTCACGATTCTCCTCACGGATAAAGGAAATGCTACGGTAATAATGGGCACGTCGGAATATAATTTTAAAACACAACAACTTTTATCGGACGAAAGTACATATAAAAAGGTCAAAACAGACCCCACAACTAGCACGCTTAAAACAACTAGCGATTTAATAAAGAAATACTCCGAAAAATTAAATCTAGACGTGAATTCGCTAATACCACCATGTACCAAACCGCCGAGGTTGTATGGGTTGCCGAAGATATACAAACCAAACGCTCCACTACGTCCCATAGTGCCCAGATCGATTCACCAACTTATAAGCTGGCACAATACTTAGCAAAAATACTATCACCACTGAGAGGATATACCAGAGCACACACAAAGGATTCATACCATTTTGTGAGTGAGATAAAAGACCTACATCTCGCTGACAATGAAACTATGGTCAGTTTTGATGTTCAGTCACTATTTACATGCCTACCTATTGTTGACTGCATCTCAATTGTAACTAGGAAGCTAGAAGAAAATAACATGCCTCAAGAATATGCAATATTACTTGAACACTGCCTCACATCTGGCTATCTATTGTGAAAGGAGGAGTTCTACAAGCAAGTAGATGGTGTGGCGATGGGCTCACCTGTGTCTCCCATAGTCGCCGACATATTCATGGAGGACTTTGAGGAGAAAGCCCTTCTTACTGCTCCTGTAAATCCAAGGTTCTACAAGCGGTACGTAGACGACACTTTCACAATTTTACCATCTGACAAAGTAACTGCATTTTTAGACTACCTTCTCTCCATAAACTCTAAAATACAATTCACAATGGAGTTAGAGGCAAATAATTCTTTAGCCTTCCTAGATGTTTTAGTCATCCGAAATCCTGATAACACTATTGGTCACACTGTGTATAGAAAAAAGACCCATACCAACCGATATCTAAATGGTGAATCTCACCATCATCCTTCACAGTTAGCTACCGTGGGTAAATCTTTGTTTCAGAGAGCACCAGGGATCTGTGACAGAAAACATCTGGCCGCCGAGCTTGTCAGCATGTCAAGCAAGTATTGCAAGACAACAAGCTTCGGGTCCCGCGCCTACGTCACAGTGAACGAGTGAAGCTGGCAACAGTCGAGCGCGCACCTGCTGTACTACCGTATGTTAGAGGATTCACAGACAAGATTGGCTACATCTTGAAGCGAGCGTCCATTAAAACATACTACAAGCCGCCGAAGAAGATTAGTCAATTTTTACCATCCATCAAATGCAATATTCCTCTACAAGATGCAAGTGTATACAAGCTAGATTGTGAATGTGGTCTCTTACATAGGTCAAACAAAAAGATCTATTAAAACCCGCGTGAAGGAACATATAGCTGAAGTGAAGCACCGACGCTCCGGGAAGTCTGCAGTCTGCGAACATGTTCAAGTCTTCCCCACCATTACATTAGATTTGATAAACCACAAATCCTCGCAAAAGAACACCGATTCCTACCAAGGATGATACGCGAGGCTATTGAAATTAAAAAAAAACATCCAAATTTCAATAGAGAAGATGGATGGGTGCTGCCAGCTGCTTGGGATCCTATAATTTACAAAATTAAACCCAAACCCAAGCATACCACTGCAAGACTTCATGATACTATAAGCTCATTTTGCGTAAATCGGACCAAAAATTAATATTCAAAAACTGAAGGTAGCCGGACTAACTATGACATTGGGACGTCAAACATGTCAGTCCCCCCGTGACCACGGGTGCTGTAAAGCACCCCGAAACGTCGGGATAATAAAAATAAATTAAAGTGGAATTAAACGCGATAAAATCCGTAAATAATAGTTTTATTCAAAGACTACCTACAAAAAGAAATGAGATGCTATCAAAAACATAACTTGTAAAAAAGCCAAGTCTTGCAACTCAGTTTTTCGACCGTAAAAAGTCGTGAAATCCATGTAATACCAAGTCGGTTAATTTATTCAGTCCCTACTTAAGGGTCCTTCCGTTTTAAGTTATTACGTAAATAACTTATACGTGTATTATGCGACCGGGAAGAATTTAGAATGCGTCACTTGCATAAATATTACGAATAGCGGGATTAGGTAAACAGAAAACTAGCGGGTCAAACTAAATAAATAAGCGTCTATTTACCTATGCGAATAAAGGTACAATTAAATTTCAATTATTTTCAATTTTGAAAATTCAACAATACAGCGTAACGTTGGTAATGCTAAGCGAAGTTAAATCTATCCAATGTTAACAAACTAGAGTGCATTATCTCAGGAATTGGTTCAGCAGTTCGACTCGATAAGGCCATAGGGCGTCAATTCCGAATCCAGTTCGAAGGACCAGAAATGGTTGGGCGACGGACCTAGGGGCTCTTGAGTCCGATTCCCAGGTCGGTCCTTGACTCTATTATGCGAGATGTTACTAGGTGGACTTTATGTGCGGTTTCTTGATACTCCAAAACAAGATGGCTGACGTGGGACGCGACGGCCTTGGATGATGCACTCGCTCTTCCAAATCTACTACTTTACTAGTCTCAAGATGGAGGTCTACTTGAGCCGGTGGGAGAGAAAATGTGACGGAGAAAACAAAACAAAAAAAGCCTCAAGTCAAATTATAAAAAAAAAGAGGGAAGAAAAGGAAAAACGCACTTACCGGGGTGGAGTTCCTTCTGGTGCCGCGGTTGACGCTCCTGGGCTGGTGGTGTGTTGGAAGAGAGGCGGTGCGCGACGACAACTCGCACTATGCGAGGCGGTTACTTCTAGCAGTTCTGTGGCCGACTGCCACAGATGTGCAATAAAAACTAGCGGAGTGAACTACGATGCAATAAGGGCGAGCGACGTCAGTGCGTGTCCTTATATGGACAGGCCATTTCTACCACTTCCATATTGGCGGGGTGCGTTTCTCATTGGCTGAAAAGGTGGCATCACATTTTAGACACCCTCCCCCTTCAGTGCTTGTGGAAGGAATTTGTGGATATAGGAAGGGGAGACACTGGCGAACAATAATTAACCTAACAAAATATAAGAGAGTACCCGATTATTTTTCCGCGCAACCAAGTGGAATTGAGTACTTCCTCCTTTTTGAACTCTGTAGAAAAAGAACACAGGCGTTACTAGATATGTTCCCCATACTGGGAGAAGCTGCAACTATAGATAGAGTCCGAAAAAAAATTAATGTTTTAAAGAACGGTTATTATCGAAAGTTTAAAAAGGTCAAAAGCAGCTTTTCCACAGGATCGTCTACAAACGATGTTTACGTACCAATGTTGTAGTATTGATGTCGTTTTTGTAAGCAGAAGAAGTATTCAAGCCAGGAACTGATGGCGTCATAGAATAGTTATATATATATATATCTACAAAGGGTTGACTATCGACCTATTAAAATTATGTATCACTAGTTTTTGAAGTCGGCTTTTATTGGTATTCTTAAAGTTAAATCTAGAACATTTAAATCTTGCATTATATTATTACTTTGTGTATACTGGGTTACTGGGCACGTTTTTGTAGACTGTTGTCATCCAGAATCTTTTTCTTTTTTTTTTTCTATAGATGACAGAAGCAGAATTCCCATCTTTTGGCGTTTTGACAACACCGGTTGCATTACAAAAAAATTGCGTGCTTTCTCTACTAAAGTTATTTCATCTAGAACTCTCGGTAGAGAGTAATTGTGTACTGGGATCTAGAACCATAGATAAGCTAATCTAGCACGCTTGATGCGTGCACGATAGTGTGTATGTTACGTCCAGCACCGCGGCTTTGAGCGGAAGTACATCAAGCTGGACTGTATGTAAGCCGTTTAAGGCGCGGTATCTCTCTTTTACTCATAAGCGCAATCTATGGAGTTTATACTAGATCTATACCCTATATAATGTTGTAGTTTTTGAGGGAGTTTTGGCGGGAACTTGGCCGTCGAA